TTAAAGTACAGGCGAGAGGTAGTACTGCTTTGCTTGAAGGGTTAGCATGGCGAGAAGTCGAGTTCTTCTTTGCTCTCAGCTTTTTCTTATTTTTCTGGCACTTATCTCAACGCATGTGAGTGAAAATACATTGGGAAGCCTTCGGAGTAGCCCTTTCCACTCCCGGTTGAATTCTGGCGGCCACACAAAGGGAATTCCACCTCAAAAGCAGTATGCATGCCTTTGGAAGCATGTCTGCCATCTTGGATCCTTCCCTCGTGGTAAAGGATATTTTTCTTCAAGAGTGCACTACTACTCTGATTTGGAACGTAGTTTTCAACTAATCCCTCTGATTGTTAGCGGCGACATCCAGGGCTCAACACTAACTTTTCAAATTACTAGCCAAGTGGCTAGTGGCATCTTAGATGTTTTTAGATGTTACGACAATTTCAGTCTGTTTACTAGGCAAGCTGGCTGGTGGGAATTGAAAACCACTAGCGAAAACTGAATTTCTACTAGTCTTTGGCTAGTGGGCTACCATTAGTGTGGAGCCCTAGACAGCAGTGAAAATCCAGGGCCCAAAAATTGCGCTGTCTTTCTCAAAACTGTCGCTCGCAACAATTGAGCATTAAGTTGTGACCAGTGTGACTCGTGGTGCCACATAAAGTGTGGTAAGGTTACTCCAAAGCAGTACAGAGAATTCCAACACATGGATTGCTTTAGCTGGATTTGTCCACCTTGTTTACTATCAGTTTTTCTCTTCGCTCATACAACATTAAATTCGACCTTAATTTAACTCATCCACTGACTCTGAGAGTAATGACGGAGCTCATGATGATTCAAATGGCATTTACGTTCTATAAGATAATGAGCAACTGGAAAATAAAAGGAAACACTGTACTGATATCTTACTATGTGATCTGAATATTAATAGTATTAAAAACAAACAGGAAGAACTTGCTGCAGTGATCAGAAAACTAAAGGCTCACATTATTTTCATCAGCGAAAAAAAAAATTGATTCAACATACCCCAGGGTTTGACACCTGTTTACCTGCATTACTAGCGATGGGCTAGTGATTTCTAAAATTTGCTGGCCCGTTATACAACTTGGTAGTCCGGATCAATTTCCCTCGAGGTCTACTTCTACCCCATACATGCAAATCTTCCTTTAAACTTATTGATCTTTTAAAACGATGAAGAATGGTACAATCACTTTAAGTGCGAAGCATTGGTATAGAGAAGACAGGGGAAGACATTGACCATTAAGTGCAGAGTCTGGGATCTTGCAAAGTTTACGATCAACATGCAAGACAAAAAAAGACACCAGAAGATGAAAGGCTTGTGCCTTCATCTTTGGTATTATCATTAAAATTTAAACTGTCTTGTTTCTTTACTCAACCCTGAACTTTAAGTAAACTAATTATATATAATTTCTTTCATTTTTTCTACTAGCCAGCACGCTATCAAATGTAGTTTTTTACTAGCCCCACCAAAGTTTTACTAGCCTCAGACATTATCATTAAAATTTAAACTGTCTTGTTTCTTTACTCAACTGTGAACTTTAAGTAAACTAATTATATATAATTT